TTGTAACACCAATCTTGTAAGGTACACAAAAGCTAGGCCTCGTAAACAGCACGTGAGGTACAAGGCACAACTTTGACTCCCTGCAACCTTTTCGGTCATAAAACACTTTCTCTGTGGGAGCGATTCAGGATACTCCATCAAATTCCATTAAGCGCCAACTCTACCTGGACCCAGAATCTAGTGTTGCAGAGGCTTCCACAGTTCCGTTGTCAACCCCTTGGGATCACACTAAAGGGTGGCAAAACGATAGTACCTTCCCCACCAAAGAGAGATACAAGCATTCTCAAGGAGGCGCAGGAGAGATCAACCGGATCGGTCATCAGACCAAGAGGCAAAGCATACGTACAATGCCCTACCTAACTTATTCTACCTGCGCCAAAAGAAGGAAAGAGGCAAGGTAGGTGAGAGTATTAACTTTAAGCTTTATTTTTCTACATGTAATACATGTGGTGTCGGGGTACGAACCTAGCTTCGCTGTTAATGCAAAGACAATACTTCCACTTTTCCAACTTTCAAATTTTTTCAAGTTGTTATTCATCGTAGACTGACATCAGTTGGAGGAACAAAGGAAACCTGGGAGCACTGGACAGCTGTTTCGTCCTGGTATGGAGCACTGGATTCTGACCCAGTGGCTCAATGGCAACGCGCTGGCCGCGGAACCTGAAGGTCGCGGGTTCGATCCCTGCTGGTGGGGTCATGGGTGCGCACTGCTGAGGAGTCCCATACTAGGACGAAACAGCTGTCCAGTGCTCCAAGGTTTCCTTTGTTCCTCCAACTGATGTCAGTCTAAGATGAATAACAACTTGAAATAATTCCAAATCTCCACAACTCCCTCAAGAATTTTAAATTTTTGCATACTTATTCTGAAGAGATGTTCCATTATATGAACATGCAGCACTCATATCTTCTGGCAACGATAGGTGAGGGTTGAGATTATCTTCCATGAAGATAAACGTAATTTATATAGAAACATTTACGTGTAAAATGGTGTGTGTCTGTCTGTACATTCAGGAATTGATATTTCTATCATAAATACAGCCCACAAGGTTATCCATAAAGTATACCACTCCTGACAGGATCACATTAGCAGTCCGATACTGCCCCACACTAGTAGCTGACTGAGACCTTAACTACATCTCCAGATGCAACATAATAGGACCAGAACCTCTCTGGAAGAGGCGACTTAGAATGGATCTTATGCTTTGTTATAAACTACTTTGTAAGCAAATGCACTCATGCTGTCCAGGAATTAAAATAGTTGTAACGTCCACTTACAATATGCGTAATCACAAACAATTAGCTAAAACTGAGTGTTGTAAGACTGATTTGCGAGGTAATTTCTTCCTTAACAAGTTCTCTCACATCTGGAACAGACCTTCTGAGGAAATACGTACTAAAGGTTCATTATCTGCCTTTCTTTCCTCACCTAATAAGCTCCCCACAGATGATGAGTCTATCACCCGTCTGGTCACCGTATATATGTCCTTGGCTAATGAAAACATACTAGGGCCCCTAAACTTGTAAATTAAGGTCATCATCAATCTCAAGTACTTTTTCCTTAATGGGCCCGAACATTATTGCGCGGAGCGCTTGACTGCTATTCCACTAGCTTAGGTTGTGTAGTCAGCAAAGTGCACATTGGTAAAGCATATGTCACCTTGATGTAGAGTCAGTTTTGCCCGTACGTCTACAAATGAACATAATATATCCAAAAACTTGCACGAATTTTACTTAGGAAAACCATAGGAGTCATTTTTATATGCATACATTAAAATGTACATATAGCTCGAGCGTCTCTGAGCAGATAGGAACTTCTCTCTTCCCAATTTCGTCTTGTATGGCGTATCAACCTCGAGTTTCTGCTCGTGTTTTTTCTCCTTCTCTTTTCAGCTTACGTTTGAAGAGAAAACCTTTAGCAGAATTTTGACCAAAATTGTCAACCTACTTGACATACTACTTCATGCTCCATACAATAAATTATCGGAAGAATCTTTCAACCAGTCTTCCCCAATTGATGTTCAACTTTCTGAAACGTTCTAAAGCGAAAGCGTCCAGTTACCAGCAGCCTAGATGCAACCTTGTACGAAAAACCAACCACAATAAATGATGTGAGGCTTCTGGACGGTCATAATGGCAGTGAAAATCTGGACAAACAACTAAACCTAAGGAATAAACTCACCTGATCACTCAAAGTGAGGCATTTTCGCAAACAAACTTCCCCACTACCTCACCTCATTTGACTCAATACAGTAGAAGACAACAGACAACATACCTCCTTGATAATGCTGTATGCCTCAATGTGAATTCTGTGTGCAAAACTCCGTCACCATTGGATAGTTCCTCAGATGTTTGTTTCTTTGTACAGAAACAACTAATTCTGATGGATTACGTCTGCATTGCTGAGTAAGGTCACACTACCAGTGGGAAGTGCGAGGACTTATATACTCACGTGAATTATATGGTTATGCTAACATTTACTATCACCTGAAATCGGTGAAGTGAGTTTTTGTTGGCCAACGGTACTATAAACATGTTAACCGATGTCAAAATAAATGTTTATTTCACGAAACACGGAACTATACCGCCAGGTTAACCATCTAGGTCACATGTAACGCAAACGTCAAATACTGTACGATTTCGGCATCACTTCATTTTGTAAAAAGAGTAGTGAGTGGAGACAACTGAAACTCATAAACATTCTGAATATACTATGAAGTGATATTTTCCTGTTTTTTCATAACCTGTAGTCACTTTTATTATCATGATAGACCGTGATGTGATACCTTCTGTATCATTCAGGACAGCCCATCTAATGAAGATTTCTTTACCATTATCAATTTGATGATGCCTGTAAACTGGCTTCTCTCATGTTAAGCTCTTAATTTGAGGACAAAATATTTATTTATTTACTTATTTATATCCTAACAGAGGACTAAGACGAGATTCAGATCCAGTTTCTTCTAACACAGCGTGTATGTTGTAAAGGGCTGTGCCAAAAGGAGTGGCCACGATCATCTCAGTTAACTTTGTCAAAAGAATGTGCGACAAGTACACCAGCAAAACGGCCTGCCAGCTGCGTGCTCAAGTGGTAACTGAGGGCATATTCATCCCTTCCTATGTTATCCGATCCCAGTAGCTACACTATGACCCATAATCTCTCTACATTGTTATTATTAACACCTATTTTTCATAAGTGTTTTCCATCCTCTTCTGTTGTTCTTCACTCACCTTGGTTTCCGCAAGACGTTTTTGTTAATGCCCATGACTTTCTTGCTGGTGCAGTCATGGACAGCAATCTCATGGTGTTAATTGATCCCATTAGCAGCGTCACTCTTACGCAAGAAAAAATCAAGCTGCAATTATTCGAAAATATACCTGCAAGTAGACAGTCACCATCTCCAGAGCCATGAAGAGGTGAAGTGAAAAGATTTCTGCGACCACCGAGGGAGTATGGTCGAGTGAAAACGACCAATCCTCGGAGCCCAGACAAGAGATTTAAAATATCCAGGTTCCATCCACTCGCACTACTGATGTGAACATGCGTTTCTCCTATCGTTTGCTCAACGACTGGAACTCCTTACCTCGTCTATTCTCCCATTTGCCGACGACCCCAAAATATAGGGGACAATAGGTGAGGATCTCCAAAACGACTTGTTGCTGCTGGAGTCTTTGTTAGCCGCAAACGATTTAAGCTCCATCGTGGAGAAATGCAAGGCGATGCATCTTCGCACACCAGACTCAATGAAAATCAGCTAAACCCTCAACAAGCGTGAGATCACGAAGGTACCTACGGAGAAGGACCTCGGAGTAAACGTTTCTGACAATTATAAGGGATTGGCATCTAAGGCGATCGCCATCATGCACCTTCTAAGGAGATAGTCTGTATTCTTAACCCTTAAATTATCCTTCATGGCATTTAAAACCCATGTTTGACCACCTCTAGAGGTGCTCAACGCGATGCCCCTCCACCACTAAAGGGTGACGCAAGTTCTGTCGAGAAGGTAGAGAGAACAGCGACAAGGTCCGTTGTCGGACTGACTGGCAAAATGTATACGCAGTGCCTCAGGCAACTCAACTTGTTCACATTGAGCTATTAAAGAAAACAAGGTGACCTGATAACAGCCTACGGGACCATTCACCAAATGGACCACCCGAATAGGTCAACGTTATCGGTCCAAAACGGACGGTCACGTGGTAAACCCCGTCTCATAACCCACCACAGCGAAAAGATGAGAGCGATATCAAACTTCCTCCAACACAAAGCGTATACCTTATGGAACGCTGTACTGGGGGAAGTAGCCACTGCTACACCGGTCGACTTCTTCAAACGACCACCGGATAAGTATGTGAGCGTAAACGGCTTACCACGAACATTTGCTGGTAGCAAATGACGATAAACTCCTCCATTCCTATATTCCCCTACCCTAGCATTTGCAGTAGGATGCATCCCAACTGCATATTATTACCAGTGACACTTATCTTTCCACAAGTACTTTTCACTCCTCTTTTTTGTCATTCCCTACTCACCCAATTTCTAGTATTTTTTAAGTAACGCTTAATGCTTACTTGCAGATGCTTACAAAAAAGAATTCTAAAGGGTTAATTGATCTTATCAACATTTCCTTTGCCTCGCCAGACAAACCAAGGTATAATTTTCAAGGAAAAAGCCTTCAGATAGACAATCACAACCTCCAAAGCTATAGGCAGGAAAAACGAGAAGACTTCTGCTACCACCGGAGGGATGAAACCGAACAAAACGAACAGAGCCTCAACAGCTAGAAGCCGGAGCTCAACACTACAAGTTTCCCCTGCTCGCACCATTGACGTTACATGTTGGAAATACTATCAGCTCCTTCGGCCAAAGCATTCAAGGAGAAACTAAATATTCATAGAGATATCTTTTATAAGGATTATCGCAGGACAACTGGCCTACTGTTTTTATTAGTGAAAAGTGAGGCTGAAAACCGATGTTGGTTGTTGGTTGTGAATATTGGATATCATTTTCTGAGGGAAAATTGTATTCTCAAGGACTTTTGTTTGGTATATTTCTTATCGATTGCAAACAAGCCCGTTAACAATAATAAACAATTTCCCGGTGTGAGATGACTAACCATGTACGGTAGTTACGGTAGCACCACAGCATCCTCTTCACGTACGTTTTTCCTTGGAATTATTATCGTAATAATAGAATCTACAGCAGTTATCCAGGTTTTTGAGGATATATCGTCTAAGCTGCTTAAGATACGTTTACTTGGTATTTAATTTTAAGAGTTTTTTTTAATATTGTGCAGCAAATGAACTAGAAACTCTGAACAAAAGCATTAGCATCAAAGGAAATTCGAAAGCTCAATCTGATCTCCTGTAGGTTTATTTCGGTCATAAATATTTCTTTGTTAGAAACAAGAGGGAGAAGGATGCTCTACAGCTGGTTGATGAAACTAAAAACTTGTTTATAAGCCTTTCTAAGCATCCGTTATCAGATCAGGTATTGTTACTTTCACTACTTTGAATGGCTAAAGATTGCTAAGATCCATGTAGAAAAGCTCAAAGTTGACTTCCAGCGTGTACTTCACCGGTTTCAAAGGACTCAGGCGGTAAGATATTCCAACAGTCTTTTGTTTTGATATCTTTCGATTGCTGTTGTTACCGCAAAGCATTTTTGATCACATTGTGATAGACATTTACATTAGTGAGGTTTTTAAACTGCAATGAAAGTACAGTCGTATTATATGGTATTTTAACGTCAAAAAAAGTTTTTATCGTAAACAATAGCGATCACACTATGTTGCAAATTTATTACCGGCTGCTTCCTCAACATTTCATTGATATTATGACGAGTCGCTCTGAGTTCCCTTAGTATGTACTAAATTCCCAGTAGCAGCAGTGAAACTACGGAGCTTTGCTGAATCATACAATTTAAAACGCATAAGAAAGTGGTCGATTTTGTAAATAAGGTTGGGAAAGTGGTGGGTGGTGGTGTATAGGTTTACTACACGTGATTTAACGACCCATTTAGGTTTTCATCAACATCATCATCATCAGTATAGGACCAGGCATTAGCGTGTAACTGTCCAAACCTCCACGTCTCATATCATGTCAAGTGGCAAAGCAATAAGATGGAAAATGAAGAAGGAAAGAAAAATTGGTCAGAAGAAGTAGAAAAGTGAAAGAGAGGAAGGAAGAATGGGAAAGTGATGAGACTAAGTATAGAGGTTTAGATGAAGATAATGTGTGTATGCATCTGCGTCACTGATATCGGTTGTGAGCCTCATCACCTAGAGTCTCCAACCACTGGTTTCTCTTGTCCCGTGGAACCCAACTGACTAGTATGCATCTCCCCACATGGCTCAAACGAACATTGATGGACTTGATGCATTGATGCCATGTTTTAGTCTGGCCACACTGAGTCATTTTCAAACCTGAACCTACTTCGGCCAATATTGTGCGACGAGGCAAATGGTGGTTGGATAGGCATACGCAACACATTTCCCATCCATCTCAGTCGATGGAGGTTCACAACCGCATGAACTGTCTTACCTCTCCCCCCTGGAACTCTACACCTGACTTCTGTGTTACTCACGTGGTGACAGTCTAAAGTGGCCTATGCTATGAAGGCAAGGGTGGTCAAATACCTGAAGCCTTCTTATGTCTTCCACCTTGAATGGCCATGTTTCACAGCTATACAGAAGAAGCAAGCGGATTGCAGCATAGCACACTCGATCCTTAGTGGACAATCGGATATCGCGGGAGCGCTACAGATGATGTAAGTTAGCAGAAGCCAACCGAGCCTGTCTTTATCCGTGCAGAGATTTTGTTGGCCACTGAACCACCAGGGCTAATCCAACCTGCAAGGCAAGTGAAGTGTTCAACACACTCGACCACTTCACTCTCTGTTGTTAGGTGGAGCGTCACTCAAGACCAGTCCTGGCGCAACAATTTGCATTTAGGTGGTGAAAAGCGTATCCCAAACATTCTCAAATTGCCACTCAATGTGTCTGAAAGACTGCATCTTGTCAGCGTCTTCACCTAACAAGGCTGTCGTCTGTATATTCTAGGTCTACCGAAAATCCATGTGTTGTCAGGTGTCGAGAGGGAGACCTTCCTAAGACTGGCAGAGAAAACCAACCTAAAACCTTGCACTGGAGTGCATCGGCTCAGGTTGGCAAACTTCATAGAAGTACACAAAGAATAAGGGGATAAAAAAAGGAGTGATATCCAAGTAAAGTTGTGTGGGAGAATGAACAATCTGAAGATAACGGTTAGTGGAAATATTCAAGCTTTAGAAGACGTCAACCAATGAATACGTCTGAGCCACTGTAACCGGTTTTCAACTGTCACCAAGACTCCTCAACCACTGATTCATATCGTCTCGGTGACTGTATCCAAGTAGTTGACATCTTCCTGTACGGCTTAAGCCGAAAGTCAGGGACGTCATCAGCTGGTGTCAGGTATGACCACCCTCAAACCCCTTCCAACCTAATCCAACTTTCCTCAGCGTGGGGCCTCGAGGCAGGCGGTGTCTTGGCGTGTGTAGTACATGTCCAAGGCATCTCAGTCGACTAATGTTCACAGCCTCTTCAACTGACTAGTCTGTCTTGCCTAATACCTTTCACCTGACTACAACATTGTCCATACGGTGATTCCACCACAAGCGAGCAGTGCTATGAAAACATCTGATCAAAACTCTGCAGCCACTTCATGTCATCTTCTTTTGACGGTCATGTTTCATAGCCGTATGAAAGATAGAACAGACTGTAGCGCTGTATGCTCGTCCTTTGATAGATGGTCGGATATCTCACCAACTCCACGGGTGACTTAAGTTGGCTCCCAGTAGTACACAGGACCTATCTAAGAACTATGATAAAATTGAATAAGAATAATAAGAGTGGGCAGCCTTGACGGACACCGTTTGACGAGTACAACTCCTCGAACATCTCACAATAGGCTCTAACACGCCCACAAGTGTTCGAATAGAGAGCCTTCAATACGGTTATGTACTTACTTGGTACCCCTTTCAGTGAGAGACATTACCACAACACTTCTCAATCAACGGAGTCGAATGTCTCTTTCAGGTCGAGAAATTCTGTTTGTGTTGGGCTTCGGTAAGCGTATGTGTTCCAGAACCTGGCGGAGTGTGAATATTTAATCGATGCACCCGCGGCCAGGTCTAAAGCCTGCCTGATTTTCTCGGGCTCGCTGTTTTCGAGCTCCACTCAGAATTATAGAACCTAGGATTTTAGATACTATGTTCGTCAGGCTGATTCGTCTACCACAAGAGGGCTTCTCACCTTTTTTGAAGACTGGAATAATCAGTGATTTAGACCAGTCAGAGGGGATCGTATTTGATTCCCACTTACTAACTAACACATCCGTTAACCTAACTAAGAGCACTCTACCGCCATCCTCGTGTGCCTTAGAAATTAGTTCGTCTGGTCCTGCTGCCCTTCCTGGGTTCAAGTTGCCTACCACTTTCTCGACTTCTGCAAGTGTTGGAAGAGCCTATCTCAATATTCCACTCAGGATCCGATTGGATAGCGGGGAGCGTAGTAGTAGCTGTAGGCCAATTGAACAGTTCTTCGAAGTGTTCCACCCATCGTTGCAGTCTTCTTGCCTGTGAGTGAATTGCAGGCCCATCCTTCTCCGCTATAGTCTCACCAGCTGTTGTTGACCTTCCCCCCCCCGTTTCCTTAGTAAGTCTAAATAACTGTCTACTGTTACCTATTGCCACTGCCTTTCTTATCTCTTTGGCCTTTGGTTCCCACTACTGTTCGTGGTCATTGCGAAGACCTTTTGTCGATCTATATCTGACTCGCGTTCGCTCTTCATTGTACCCACAGCCTGCAGGGATGCGTTTGCGTGGACCTATTAATTCGGAAGAAGCTGCTGATATCCACTTGGTCGTTTTAACCACTGTTTGAGAGTCAACTGCAGTCTTCAGCGCTGTTTTTACAACAGACTAGAGATGGCACCAAGCTTCTTCTGGGTGAGTGAAAGCGTTATTTTCCGATAACTGCCTAGCCAATTTCTCACTGAACGTGCCTTTGGTGTTTTCGTTGTCCAGCTGCACTCATAATAGCTTTATTGCCAAATCTCCCCTATGTCCATATACGCATATACGCACTCGGGTCAACGCTTGGTAGCTATCCAAACACGTACTCCAGAAGGGGCTGCAGTCTTCCACCGCCTCTTTCCAGCGATGACTAATAGCAACGTGTTCTATCTGTGTCCATCGCTGAGTTGAGCCTGGTGGATGCCACCTCAGACAGTGTCTTTCTTTATGACGAATTTGCGGTAGCTAAAATTAAACGGTTATCTGACCAGTTTTAGTAGATGATCACTGTTATCTGTTCGTTCAGCCGGGATTCCGAAAGCGCCACCAAAGTGCCTTTCTGCCTCACTCAGTCTACCCACCTATGCATTGAAATCACCTGTAACAACCACATCTGAACGTTTGGCTTTCAGAAAAAGCCTAGACGGTTTCCGGTAGAACTCGTCCTTCACTTCATCCGAACTGCAGTCAGTGGGTGTGTTAGAAGAGGTTACAAAGAGAACGGTGAGTTTCACTATTCCTTTTAGTTCTCGCTATGCCATTCAGCTGGATAGCTCAGAGCCGACTGTTGACTGGGATCCAGTCTAGTAGTGAGTTTTCTGCCCTAGTGCTTAATCCTATGCATACACCTGCAAGACCGCGAGAGCTAGCCATCGAATCTGCGGATTCACTAGATTGTCCGGGAAAGGTTAGGCGAGTAACCGCACTTGAGTCCTGTATGCGAGTCTCACAAACACAGTACACATCCATGGCCCAAGTTGCTAGAGTCTTTGCCATTGAAGCCTGTTGACCAATTTGGTGGAGGGTACAGACATTGAAAGCCTCGATGTGTAATTTGTAGCGTAGTTTACTGAGACCAGGGACGCTGTTCTGTAGAGTGAGATCGTCGTCGAGGGCTGCAGAGCTAGGAGAAATTGAATATGATCTAGTATCGTTAATTGAGAGACTTTGAAGGAGGATTAGAAGGTAATGATGAGGGAGGTAGATATCAATCTGAAGAAACTTGAGTGCTGACAGAGTTGTGAGGGCGGTTTACACTTCCCGACTGCCCACATCATGGAAGGCTATTTCTTCTTAAGGTACCTGAAAGAGATTTGTGTGACCACAGAGCCCGTCGGACATCTGCTTGAGGCTTGTCCCACGCAGCCTTCTCAGTATGGTTGTTTTGGGGCCGGACGGTCGAAAAAGAAACGACAAATGAACCAACACCGCCGGCCCGGCAGACTGTAGGGTATGGTGGAGTGTGTTATTTTGGGGGCCGACCTTTTCTACTCCCCTTCCACTGAGAAGGCAGCATCAGCATGGCAGTGATGGTCATCCAAGAGAAACACCTTACTGCTGTCACACCTCATCCAGCTAACAGCAGTACAACTTCGCGCTCAGACTCTCATCATAGTTCGGTAATTTACACCACAACGGTAACTGCTTTTCCTCTAACCACTATCCAACATGTCTTTCTGGTAGGGTAGGACCTCTAGGGAACATGTGTCCTATCGTCGTTGTGACATGCAAGTCCGATCACCACCTCAAGGTAGCAGCTATCGC